CAGCTGCTCTTCAGCCAGATGCTGGGTGAGTGCAGCCGCCGGGCTCGACGTCGGCGTGGGAGGGGGGTGAGGGAGGCGGCGGCCGGAGCCGTCGGGGCTCCTGACACCCCGTGGGGGACCCGCCAGTGGCCACCTCGGTGTCCTCAGCGAAGGGATGCTGAGGGGGAAGGACCCATCGGTCTCGGAGACCCCAGTCGGTCTTTGAATTACAGAATGGTTTGGATTGCAAGGGACCTCAGAGCTCATCTCGTTCCACCCTGCCGTTGCCAGGGACACCTTCCACTATCCCAGGTTGCTCCAAGCCCTGTCCAACCTGGCCTTGAACACTTCCAGGGATGGAGCAGCCAAGCTTCTCTGGGCAATCTGTACCAGGGCCTCCCCACCCTCCCAGGGAAGAATTTCTTCCCAATACCCCATCTAATCCTGTCCTCTGTCAGTGTGAAGCCATTCCCCCTTGTCCTGTCACTCCATCCCTTGTCCAAGTCCTCTCCGGCTCTCTTGGAGCTCCTTTAGGCACTGGAAGGAGCTGTAAGGTCTCCCAGGAGCCTTCTCTTCTCCAGGCTGAACGCCCCCAGCTCTCCCAGCCTGTCTTCATAGCAAGAGGGGCTCCAGCCCTTGGAGCATCTTCCAGGCATGCCAAGGGGGAAGGTGCTATCAGGGTCTGCACAGCCACCTCTTACCTTGGCGGAATGGCAGTTCCTCCTCATGAGGAGCAGTGGCAGGTGGTGGTGGAGCTTGTCCTCCCCCACGTGTCTTGTCGGCTACCCCTTGTCTCGACACCCCCAAATACGATGGAGGTTGCCCGGCTGGGTGCCACAGCTGCTCCCCACCATCGGGGTGGGTCACCCCAGGGGTGACCTTGGGAGGCTGCAGGCGGAGGTGCCGTACGAAGGGTCTGTGCTGCTGCCGTGCTTTGGGCAGATCCAGAGCTCCTCTGAGGTCTGGGGCTCTGGCAGAGGAGGGTCCTCCAAGGATGCTGCTGCAGGGTTTGTGTGAGCTGGTTTCAGCCTGTGGCTGCCTATGCCTTGCTGTCCTGGCACGTTTGATCCCTCAGCTTGTTGGTTTCCATGAGAACAGCAAGCGCTGGCCATGCCCCTGACCTTGGGAGCACAGTGGGCTGCTGTGCTGGGTCTCGGTGGGGCTGAGCCCAGCCCTCACCTTTCCCTCATGGCTGTGTGCTGATCTCTAGTAACTGTGGCCACCTCGGGAGCCCTCTGCCTCCCCCTGGCACCCTCTCCTCCCTGCGTCCTGACCATCAGTGCCTGTGGGCTCAGCTGGACAAGGACCACGGCTCCCAAGAGCTCTGTTTGGTCTGGCAAACTGGGGTGAGAAGGTGGCAAAGGAGCCCTGCACAGCCATTGCGGTGCTTCTGGTGCCCAGCTGTAAAGCCCTGGTGGTTAGTGATGGGGGGAGCAGCAGTACAGGCAGGGCTGGTCTGTCCAGTCCCTTGATGTTGCCTGCCTGGGACCCCCAAGCCAAGAGCTTCTCTGGCACTTGAGCTGGCTTGAGATGCCTTCTTCTCACTGCATAGTGAATAGACTTTGGGAAGAAAGGAGAGAGATTTACTCCAGCTGGGGCTTGGGGCGGCGGTTTGGAGATGTGGAGTGAGCTGGAGGAAGTGCTGGAGCCAGGGACCTGTAAAGCTGCTCTTGCTGAGTCTGGTTCCCTGCAAACCCCTGAATGTTGCATGAGCCTTTGGGGTATCACAGCCCCTGCTCCAGCGCAGAGCTCTGGCACAGCAGGCACTGGCATGTGCTGACACACAGGCATGGAACCTCCCAGCCCATCGCCCTTGGCCCCCTGGCTGTGCCCAGCCATGGGAGCAGCAGTGGTGGTGGGCACCCTGCCCATTCCTTGCCTGGCAGGGTCTGTCCCAGCTGCTGGAGCATCCCAGGGCTTGCAACTGGGAAGCCACAGAGTGAGCTTGAGGCGTGGGCAGGCAGACCATGGGGATGAGCAGGTGGGACATGGGAGGTCAGCCTGGCTGCCCTGGTGGTTCCTCAGCTGGGCTCACAGACATCCATCCCTAGCCCTAATGCTATGGGAGCACCAGATGCCGTGGGAGCAGGGCAGGATTGCGGGAGGATTTGTCACTTACGGGACTGACAGATTGCCCCTCACTGGTGTTGGGATGCCTGGGAGAATCTCACTGTCCCCTCCTGTGACACTTTGCTCTTAGGTGGAGGTTTCCTCAGCACCCCCAAGAAAAATTCTTGCAGGACTGGCCTACATGGGAGTAACTCCTGGTTTGTGGCAGTTGCGGGAGTACCAGAGGTCCACAACAGGGACTTGTGCACATGCTGAGGAAGACTGTGGGTTGTGGAAGTGCCTCCAGCACCCACTTTGGTTTCTGGGCTGTTGCCTGTGTCAGTCAGGGCTGACCTTGACCTTTGGAGGTGTTGAACATCCATTTGGACTGCACTTACCACCTGAAGGCTTGGTTGGCTGGCCCGTGAGGGCCAGACTCTGACAAATCTGTCTTCTGAATCTCCTGCTGAGGATTTGCCAAAACAGATAATTTTACAAGACTGCCAGGCTTCCTGCAGGGGGGACTGAGGGCTGTGTCCAGTGTTGGGTGGGGGCAGAGCCTGGGGTAGGCAGAGCAGGAGCTTCAGTCTGCTGAAACGTCACTTCCCTTTAGTGGGGCTGTACTTCCCACGTTCATGGAGTTGTGATGTTGAGTCACACCTACTTACCTAAAGCTGTGACAGCCCGTATGGTGGGGATGCCAACAGGAGCTTGGGGATGCAGAGAGAAGGGAGCAATGTGGCAGTGATGATGGCTACTCCATCACTTTGTATGTGCTGGTGGCACAACCGTGACTGAGGATGCCCGAGCATGGACGCATGCTGAGCCTCCAGTCCTGACCCCTTTGCTTTGTCTGATGCAATCCAGTAGGATGAAACCTTCTCTGGGGGCAATAGTACCTTCCACAATCTAACTTTTTCGGGGAGGGGTAGTTCCTGCGGTGTAGATAGACCCACAAGGAATGGGATCCCAGGAGAGTGGGCATCATGCCCTGTGTGGGCTGGTGAGGAGGGCCAGGAGAGGAGCTTTCTCCTGATGGCTAGAAGGTGCTTGGGAGGGAGGGAAGGAAGGTCTCTCTACTGTTTCCATCAATCCCTTTGGCAAGAGAAATGTCAGCCTGAGCTGTTTGGCCATGTCTACTGGAGGGCACCCTGTCCAGAGTGGCACAGGAAAACTCACAAGCTCGGTTTGTGCTGAGGAGAGAGAGACAGGAATTGCAGGGATTTCCAGCCTCGGCAGATCTACTTGTCCTTGAACTACTGACCTGTATTGAGAAGCCTATGCTGCCTCTGAGCTCCTGGCCTCACCAGCCAAGGTGGCTTCCAGAGACCTTCTGTGTCTTTAGTCTCCACACATGAGTTCTCATCTCCACCTCACGCTCCTCCTGCCAGAAGCACTCCACTACCAAGCCTCTCTTGGCCAAAAATACAGTTTGTTCAGTAGCAGCCAAGTGTTACCTCTCATTCAGTCACCACCACTGCCTCATCTGTTTGATGGCACCGAAGCCTTTGTAGCTGAACCGCGTTTAAAGCAGAGCAGCCTGCGCAAGCCAGGAGAGGTCACCGGGACGCAGCGACCACATGCGCTTTGTAGAGGCTATTTCCATCCTCCAAATTATACATTTCGCTTCAACCAAAGGCTGAGGCTTCTCATAAAAGCTGGCTGGCAGCTGGGGTTGCTAATTACCCCAGCTCCCAACCACAGGATGAAGGGGGCGGAGGATGCGTGGCCGGCGTGGTGGCAGAGCTGGCTGTGCAGAGCTGGCCGTGCCCGTCTCTGTGTGCGATGGACAGGAGTGTGCAAGGGCACGTCCGGGCTGTGTGTGCGGTGCCCAGCGTGATGGGCACTTACCTAGAGCTCCCCAGAGCACCTCCGAGAGCCTGCAGCTGCTTTCTGCAGCTATTTCCTTGTCCATCTCCTGCTGGATGTAGTGCCTCTTAAGTGGCTGCTAATTCGCATCAGCGAATGAGAGGTCGGTGTTGCGTGGGCCGGAGCCCAGGCGGGCACACGTGATCCCGGGGGAGATGGTGTTCCCCGAAATGCTCACTGCAGGAGTCTGCAGCCCTGCCAAACTCTGCAGGTGCAGCTATAACCCATCTCAGTCCTGCAGCCCTTGGGTGGGCCATGCCACCCTTCCCCAGGTGGCACAGCAGGGATGTCCTCGCTGGGCAGCACATGCCTGTGGGGACCTGGTACCCCTGTGGTGCCAACATGCAGGCAGGACAGCACCCAGCTGTGCTTGTACTGGTGCTGGCTGGGCAGGTGGGTGGTGGGGAGGAGAGCCAAGGGCTGGGACAGGCAGATGGGCTCCATGGCAGGCAGGAGCTTCACATCTCACTGTGGTCAGTTTAAAAAAATACCACAGCACAGGAAAGACACTTGGCTGGTGTCTGACACATCCTGCATGAGGATGTTCCCGACCCCGGTGAAGATGGTTACCAAGGTATTCCCTCTTGATGCCCTCCCATCCTTGCTGGGAGGTGCATGGTGTGGGTTTAAAGGAGCACCTCTGCCCCACTGTGTTCCTCCCTCTGCCCCATGGTGTTCCTGACAGTTTAATTAAGCACTAATGGACCTGTGGCAGTGCTGTGCAGCAGTAGCCAGGCTCCCTGGCAGGAGACCATGTGGAAATCAGAGACCAAGTAGCTCTTCACAGTGATGGGAGTGGGTTATTGCCTCATAAAGCGCTGTAGCTGCCCTGGTACTGCCAGTGCTGTTCCTCTCTTACGACCCCTGTGTGACAGCGTCTGTGTGATGAGGTTGTTGGGATGGGGATTGATTTCCTTCTGCCCACAGAGCTGGACTCCTGACTTCGGGGTAGGGGTAAGGAGAAAGGGGAGAGGTACATGGTCATGTTGCTGCTTCCAACCTGCTCCCAGGAGCTGGCAGGGAGTAGTAGATATCTCCTCTCTCCAGCTGAGATGGCTGCAGTGACTGGAGAGGTCTGGAAATGTGACCTGAGGGTCCCAGAGCTTCTGCCGAAGCTGCTTGGGATGT